TGTTTCTCTTCTATTTTAGCCCTCACATTTTCCAGTCTCTGTAAGTCTGGGGGCAAAAATGGCTTTTAGAAAATGAGATCTGGGATCCAGAAGTTTCTAACAGGAAACTAAGGATTTCCCAGAAGTTCTTCAGGATATGTTGGGCAGCTGAGTCCCAGCTCACCACACTATGTAGTCCTGTTTTATATCAGTTTCACCATGACAACAAGCTGCATAAAAGCCTATTCAATAAGATCATCTGAAATCAAGCATGATACATTTCTTTTGTAGGCAACACAGTAGTCACATAACCTAATACTAAAGGAATATTCACAAAGTGCCTGATGCATTGAAGACAAAGCTAGACTGCCACAGCAAGGGACATCAGAATGATTCAGCCTCCTTTGAAGTCAATTTCCTCTTGCTCCCATCCACAGAATTATCTTCTGCTTTTATTACCTATATATTAGCATCACTGCAGATAGCACATCACAGAAGACAAAAGCCCCGAAGGTGGACAAAGTGACAAAGGGGGGGAAGAAGGAAAGAGAAAGGCAAGTTTAACAGGTGAATATGTACACATACCTAGGCTCCATTTTGGCTGGGGCTGAGAGCTATGGGATTTAAGCAATAGTCTTGAAGGACTATTTTGGGAAGCAGAGGGGGGAGGACAATGCAGGGGGCCTTCTAGGCATGAAGATTGTGGGCATAACTATTTGGTGTGGTGGTATAGTGGGAGGAACAAAAGCCACAGGTGGGGTACACTGTAATTCTCAAATGTAGCAGTTTAATAGTGGAAAGCTGCTGGGTCCGGCATAGAAGATCTGCTGGTGACCAGCCAACTGTCTGGCTGAAAATTAACTACACACGGCTGAAGTGGCAATGTTTGCAAAAAAATCAGTCGGGCTGGTTTTTATGTGTATACTCTGTGACTTGACCTTGTTGTCCCCTATCACTAACCTTAAGGTGAATAAATGGAAAAGATATCATAGAAGAGGGTGGGGATATGATATGTTAAAGAAACAGCTCTGTTAAGCAAACACATCATTTGAACAGGCAAGCACAGTTATGCAACTTCCTTGTCAGTAATGCAGACTTTTTGGTGGTACACCTGCAGCTTAAGACACTTTCTGCTTTCTGGCTACATTTAAATTGCAGAGAATTATATGCTGACAGACCCAGCCAAAGTTAAAGCACATATACAAAGATATGAAGCAATTTACTACTGTGTTAAACCATCGTTCCATCTGGCATTGTATTGCCTGTGCCAGGAGTGGTTCTTCAGCCTATGGCAGAGCAAATCTCTTCACACCTACTACCTGAAGATGCCAGGGCATCTGGGACCTTCTGCATGCCAACTATGGATTTTTTTTAAATTGAGTCGCAGTCCTACCTTAAGGGCTGCGTGTTTAAATATCCCAGTTAAGCATATGCCTTTCTCCCGTTGAAATTAGTGGGTCTTAAGCACTTTAATTTGGGCTAGACTAATTAAACACTGCACTTCTAAGCAGCGAGGATAATAGCAAAGATTACATAACACTGGCCATGCTGGCAACTAGCTACCCCAGTGCAATACAACAATCCCACCCCCCATCCAGTCTCCTAACTCTGAAACAGGAACCAGGAAGAGATAGAATTCTTCAGTATGCTGGATTTGGGCCTAGAGCTGCTGATCCTTAATATAAAGCATATATTTCACAGGAAAAGCCACAGCATGCTGTTTTGGAATAAAACAAAAAGGAGTTTCTTTCAACAAAATTCAGCTACATTATGGTTTGGGAATGAATTCACCACACTTGTACAAGCTGTTATTTATTCTTCCAGACTCACCATCACATGCAAAGGTACAAGCACACATGAAAAACCCACCTTGATTACCGTTTGCCAAAAAGACTGCATATTTGTTTGGGACCAAGTTCCCAACTTGGTAGACCTTACTTTCAAGTGAACATTATATATACATGCAGCACAGCTATAACAATCCCAAGTTACTGCGCAAAAGCATGCACTATACATTTCACTCTCACCTGCAAGCAATTCGGGGTCAACATATCCAAGTACATCAGCAACGCCCAGTTCTTGGCGAGAACAAGTGCCCCCATGAATCCGTAGCCAGGCAGGCTCTGCCAGTGCAGTACACAGAGCAGTTATGGAGAGGGCACCAGGCAGTGCAGAAGCCAGGCTCCTTTCTGGCTGCTTTGGCAAGGCACTCCCATCTTGGCCTCTTCGCCTGCGCCCACTGGGCAATACCGAGCCACTTGGGGTGTACATGGATCTCCTCTTGCTGAGATTAGATCAGCTAAATCCAATGGGAAAACTGCAGACAAAAGCACTTGAGATCTTCAGGAGAAAGCAAACATCCAGTATTGCTTACACTATTAGGCACCAGCTAAGTCAAAGAAGTCTGACAGAACACCAGCAACCGAAACAGATCATCAGATGCAGTTGTTTTCTGCACTCAGTCTAGGAACCTGAAAGAGACAATCAATAGATGCTTCAAGCGATTTGCAGATGCTTGCTTATAAGCAGCCACTCACTTGGTTGCCCAAGACAGTGAAGTTTTAAAAAGATCAGTTCCTCTTTTACCCACAAATGACTAACAGAAGCATAGCAGCAGTAAAGCTATACAAATGTGTGGGCATGCTTGTAAAACCAGCTGTATGTTTTGCAGCTACTTCCTAAATGCTGTTCACTGAAATGAACTAATTTACACTAAAATGCTTAGCACTGGGTTCAAAAATAAGATTAGATCCTGAGAATTAGATCTGAAAATGAAACAATTCTATTATAGTATCCTTTTAATGAGGACATTTTTTTAAAAAGTCACCTTTATGCACAGATGCATTATATAAAAAATTAAGTTGCACAAAAGCAGTACGTTTTAACAGTCTGTGCCTTGAATACGTTGAGCCAAATATATAGGTTCAATTTTTTTCACAACAGCAGCCAGCGTGTTGAACTCTGTACATTAGCTAGAGATGTAAATACTCCTAAAAAATAAACTGACTGAAAGAGCAAAACAGCATACATGAAGTGCTCTGAACACTCAAAGTGCCATTGTCATCATTATTAGGAGCCAGCCAATAATTCCTATTCTACGTTCCCAAAAAACAGCACCAGTGTTCAGCCTTTTTTCCTTAAGAGAGAGATTTGGGCACTTAAGAGTGTAGCCAGTGAATTATTCATTAAATTATCCAGGGGGAGGGATCAAATAGAACCACTGTTTATCTAGGGGACAGAAAAAGCATTCCCTTGTTTCACACAAAGAAGTTTGTGTCTTCCACATGCCTGACTAGTACAGAAGACCTTTTAATTTTTCACCCCAGCCTACAGAACCACTCCCAGCACCAGAACAAGAGAGGGCAAACCCTCCTGAGGCATGACCCTACATAACCTGGAAGGGATGCATTCCCTCCCCACAACTCAAGTTGGATTCCAGGCCTCACACCCCTTTACAATCAACAGTAACAAGCAGCACCAATTAGGGGCTGATTAACATAGCAACTAAGAAACTGGCAGGGCAATCCAGTTTGCTACACAGAGGCAGACCACCTCTGTTCATCTCTTGCCTTGAAAGCCCTTGGGGGTGGGCACTTCTTCTTAAAACTGCACTAGGAAAGTCAGTTCAGAACTCATCTCAGCCAAAAGCTCCCCACATAATTTTGGAATAATTTTCTCGCTCAGCCCCCCCCCCCCCTGCCAACTTCCAATATCGGGATAAAACTGGTCTACAATTGTTGTAAAGGTTTCCCTTGCTCAAAAGCCAGTGGAATCCGACTCTAGGGGGCGGTGCTCATCTCCGTTGCCGAGCCGAAGAGCCAGCGCTGTCTGAAGACGTTTCCGTGGTCATGTGGCCGGCATGACCAAACGCCGAGGTGCACGGAACACTGTTACAATTGTTGTACGATTACTTAAATAGCGAGCGTAAAGTGCTTAAAACCCCTGAGGGTGCTATACAAACACTAAGTATTGTTGCGGTTATTATAGATCGTTCTCCAAACACCCTTCTTTTTCTTTCAGACCACGCCTGCTTCCTGGCTCAGCTGCGCCTCTTGCCTTCGGTCCCCCTCGTCGGGTCAGTTCTTTGTCGCTGCGAAGGCTCCCAAGGCTCTCAGCTTTAGCCAGGCGCGCCACAGGCCCCAGTGCGTCTCTCCAGAGCGCAAGGCAGCCGCTCGGGACTCCGCTCGGGGACCAGCGGGGCTCCACCCCCTCCCTTCCGCTCGCCACGGGGCTGGGGGAACACAAAGGGAAGAGGGGCGGCCCAACCGCGCTCACCGCCGGGCCCCTTACGAAGCCCCTTCCCGGGGCACGGCTCTCCGTGATTTCGCCTGCCGCCCTCGATGGTCCTGAGAAAGCCTCTCGACACCGATCCTTACTTCCTGCTACCGACCAATAGCGGTAACCATTTCCGTTTCCTCCTCTGCCAGGGAGACGGTACGCGTCACGTGACGTCACGACGCACGGAACGCCCCGTCCTTTAAAGAAGAGGAATTTTTTTTTTGTAACAACAACAGAAAAAATACATGTATGCCTCGAGGTTTCTGCATCCGAGGCAAATTAATTTTAAAATCAATCAATCAATAAACAATAGATAATAAAGCCATTATTCGCAGGCATCCTGAGAGTTGTAGTCTTCGTGTGAAGTTTTCTTCTCTGTAATAAAACTACAACTCCCACAAGCGATAGCGGCCCGCAGAGCTTACGGCAACGCCGGTTATGGTGGAAACAGTACTGTCGGTATCACTAGTGCGCAGGTGCAAGAAGTCTCGCGGCTAGTGTGGAGGCTGTCCACTGGAGAGTGCGTGGGTAAGCAAAGCAGGTAACAAGACGTAAAGCTGGTTTACACCCGGGGATTTCGCCTCTTGGTTGCTGGCCGGGGGAAGGGAAGTTGGTGGCTCTGGGCTTTCTCCCTCTGCAGAAGCTGAGAGCCTCGGAGGAGAAGACAAGCCCTCTATTTACCCCAATGGGGAGCCTAGAGATCAGAGGAATTAGGTATCCTAGGCTGGCCTTATCGATAGATGTCAGAAGCCCTACTCCACCATCGTGTTCATTTAAAAACACCTTTAAACAGCTCCGCCTCCGAGCATACCACTAAATGGAGCACCCAAGTGCAGGTAGAGTCTCCCTTTGGATGTGAGATGCTGGGGATATTCAAGAAGGAAAGGCCCCCAACTGCCATGCTTTTCTCGATTCAGTATTCCCGAAAAACGAAGGGAAGTTGTGCCACTTTAAAGGCTAACCTCCCTTCATGACACATGAACACATGAAGCTGCCTTATACTGGATCAGACCCATGATCAGTATTGTCTGCTCAGACTGGCAGCAGCTCTCTTAGATCTGAGAACACCTGCTTCCCATCACCCTCTGGGTGGCCAGTTCTGGTAACAGGACATTGGCCCAATTTCCCAGTGATCCATCAAGCATCTTGTGTCCATAAGACAGCTTATAAATATTTCCAGTAGGCCAGCAGCTTTTCATTTAAAACTACCTGAGAGTAAACCACACTGAAAACATTGTACTTAGATTGGGTTTAGTTTGGGTTACATGTTAACTAAGAATAGTTCAGCCTGAGAATACTTCAGAGCCCGAGTGTAACCCTAAACAGAAGTACACAGAGTAGACAGTGAGAATAGGAGCTGAAATAACTCAGTCACCAGGAAAAATTTAAAGACAAACATTGCAACACTGAAAAAATTAGAATGTTACAATTTTTTATTTAAACATTTTTTGTGGATTTATCAGCTTGTCCATTTTAGGAAAAAATGGTTGCAATCTGACTATTGCAAACTTTTTAAATGCTATGAAACTTTTAAAAAACAGTTCATGGCCTTTTGTCAAATGCACCACATTAAAGCCTATTTTTATGTAGAAGAAAACTATTGGGGGAAATATTTAGTCTGAGATTAGTGTTATAAATATGATACTGTTGACATATTTATTCTTGTATAAAATTATAAAAATCTGTGATTCCATGAACCAAACATTGTGGGCCTTTACTTCCCATTACAGATAGAAATGCTTCTGCTTCTTGGAAATTCTTGGCATTTTGTCCACAGCCCAGCCTGAACTCTTTACTGGATTGTGACCATTGGTGTGGATCCTGCAAAATATATGAGTAGAGAAGAGCTTGCAGAATGGGACTTTATGGTCTTCTCCTCCCACTGCTGCTCCTCCAGAATTCTGTTACTGGGTATCAGGGACATATGGGAATAAAGTAGAAGTCTGGAGTGGGAGGCAGGAACTAGCAAAAATTTCCTTCCCCCAGAAAGTGGAGATGCCCTTCCATCATGGAATACAGACTATAGGATCCAGGTCACTGTTTTCAAGTAAACTACCTTGTTTAGTGTCCTTGCTTGTAAACACACTGAAATCAATTAACTTCACAGTTTTGTCCACCTCTGTTTTGAGCAAAAAATGTTCTGGGTTATGTTTCTAGATAGTGTGAAGGCTCTTTTTAGTGTACAAACCAATATATTTCAGTTGTTATAGCTACCAGTGAGTATGCACTCTTGAGCAGGAGTGCATTTAAATCAATTTAAGTTGCCATCACTCTTTTTGGTGATTTCAATCATTCTTTTATTATTTAAATCAATGTCATTGGCTTCAAAGCATTCTGTGGTCTCTTCCTTATCGCTCCTTAGGTTCTAGCGTGACTGTTTGGGGTTAGGATGAAAGATTCTTTGACCCTCTTGGCTCGCATCCCGGCACACCCAGATTCCCGATGCTGGTTTCTAGCCTGGAATCCTACAGGGACTCTCTTAGCTTCCTGTGGTGGGGATCGGAGCATCCGTATATGGGGCAAGGAAGGTAAGCTCAGAACGTCTGTTTGGTTATTGTTCTGGGGTGGGGGGTGGGAGAAGAAGCCAGGACAGTTAAAAACCATTTGGCTTCTGTAGTGAAGCCATAGACCAGTTCCCCTTGGGGAATCCTTTCAGGAGACCACTTTGAGAATGCATTCCATTTTACACTGTAGTGGTTAGTGAGCCAGACTAGGATCTGGGAGACCAGGTTTGAATCCCCTGTCTTCCATGGAAACTTGTGGGGTGACCTTGGGCCAGTCAAACCCTCTTAGCTTAACCTACCTCACAGGGTTGTTCTGAGGATACAATGGAGAGAACAATGGAAGCTTCTTTGGGTCCCTGTTGGAAGAAACTTGGGATATAAATGGCATATCCCCAATAATTGTTGTTGGTCCTCCTCCCTGGTTGTGCTATGTGTGTTGTGTTTTATATCTACACTAACTATTCTACATGCTTTTTTAATGTCTTAACTGAGGTTTGTTGTCATTTTTGAAATGTTTTAATTTTGGTGTTTTCCACCTAGGGAACCCTGTTTGGGTGGAAAGGTGGCATAGAGTTGTTTTAAGTCAATAAATAATACCAAAGCCAGCCCTCGCTAACTCAGTGCCCCTTTCTCAACAGGCGACGCCTGGGTGTGCAAATCAGTGCTGGGTGAGGGGCACCAGAGGACCATCCGCAAGGTGGCCTGGTCCCCCTGTGGGAACTACCTGGCTTCAGCCAGCTTTGACGCTACTACCTGCATCTGGAAGAAGAACCAAGAGGATTTCGAGGTAGCTTGAGTTCCCTTTCGAGTGTGCGTTGGTTATCTCATGGTCTTCAGTCAGTTAAAAGCTGGCACCTTCTGTCGCTGCAGAGTGATTGCAGTGTCAGTTCATCCATTTTCCTGTGCACTGTATTTAAATGATTCATATAAGATGAATGGATTTGCATATGCATGACGGGGAGAATTCGGAATGTACGGACAAAACAATTGGCTAGCCAGTTAGTAGTTATAGGTGAGAAGATCTGTTTCATCTTAAACCAAAAATATCTTTCTCTCTTGACTTCCTAGGATTGTGGCAGAGTTCTGCTTGTTTACTGTTATACTGCGCTCTCTGACATCTTTTATTAATAGCTTTTATATTCTTGTTTCTCTTAACAGGAATAGGATTTTGGAAGGGGGAGCTGGAGAGTAGAGGTGTTTTGGGTCACGCATGCTAACTTTAATGTCCACAGATTGGCCAGGTTAGGAGAGAGGAGCTCAGACATTTGTAAACTTTGCCATTTTTAATCCCTTTCCCTGCCAGATCAGTAAATAACACATTTTATCATCCAGGATTTAGTCTTGGATGAACAAGCAGAGTTGGCATCCATCACTGAGACCGGGCTGCTAAAATTGGGCTGCTGTATGCACACCAGGTTTCTTGGTGCAACAGCAGGTGCAACGTGGTGGCTTGGGTGCAGGCAATACTCCCTCTAAGCTGTGGAGCCTTGTGAGCAAAACTTCTACTTTGTGAGCCAGTGATTTGGCTACTGCATAAATTAGTTTGCTCTGGAGCCATCCTTCCTGAGCTCAGACAAAAATGTGTGAGCTGAAGGCTAAAAAACTGTGAGCCAGCTCACACTAGCTCATCTTAGAGGGAACACTGGGTGCAGGAGGGGGGCATTGCCTTGGTCTTTTGTGATTCCTGAGTAGCAGCCATGTTCCTTGTTAAACAAGCACATTTACTTTCTTGTTCTCTTGGGAGTTGGGCTCCCGAGACAGACCTGGGCTTCTTTTGGTGTCCTGTCCACTGCTACCTGACTTTCATTCTATTGGAGCTGGTAGTGCTGGTCTTGGTGCTGGAGTTGGAGATGCCCAGGGATTTGGGGGCTTCAATATCCATGTTGAGGTCATGTTGTCTGGAGCTGCTCAATATTTAATAATGGCAGCCATGGGTCTGTCTCCATGAAAACAGAGCTCTGCCTAATTTTAGATTAGGATTGAACGTGTGTTTTCTATTTCGTATTGTGAGCTGCTGTTGACGCTTTTAAGGAAGATGTTCTAGATCAGTAACAACTAGCCCTGGAATTTTCAAACTGTGTGCTGGAGAACAACAGGGTTCTTCTTAATAAATTATGTCTTTAGTGGGGGAAGAAATCAGCAGTTCGGTGGGTCGGTGCTGAAATATAGATAGAAAGCATGTGAATCATTCTCTTTTATCTTGTCTTCATCATCCACTTTACTAACCAAGTCCTTTAGCTGTATTTAATTGTATATATGAAATTGTGACTGATACATATAATACGTGGATCCTGGCAAATTGTTCTCAGTAATTTACTCATGCCAGATCCTAGTAGCCCTTCTCAGAAGAGATGTTTCTTTCTCTCCCCTATCCCACCAGTGTGTAGCTACTCTCGAGGGCCACGAAAATGAGGTGAAGTCTGTGGCTTGGGCCCCATCAGGCAGTCTCATTGCCACCTGCAGCCGAGACAAGAGCGTCTGGGTTTGGGAAGGTGAGACTCTGGGGGAACTGGTTTGGTTAAGGGGGACTTCTCAGTTTATTCATATATATTTGATAGTTATAAGGCAAACTAGGGTGGCATCCAGGCATAGGATGGGAGGGAGAGTGGGAAACACTCCATCTCCTGGCTTGGCTCATTCCCACTTCTGTGTTGCAGTGGATGAAGAGGATGAGTATGAGTGCATGAGTGTCCTGAACTCCCACACGCAGGATGTCAAACATGTCATCTGGCATCCCAACCAAGAGGTGAGTAGCTCCCTTCCCTTGTCAAAAAAGAAGCACATTTTCCAAGCATTTTCACCTCTTCCCTTTTCTGAATTAGCTCCACATTGTAGTGTCCTTCCCTTACAATCCTGTACCAATGATCTGCTGCAGAGGTTATCTCCCACTGCTGCTGCCTATGAGGATCTGTGGATTCAGACGTTAAAAACAACCATAGCATTAGAAAGAGGAACTGAATTGGGCATTTTGACCCTCTCTTAGGACCATCCATGGGCATCTGCAGAAAAGCAGCTCTTCCTACACTCCTGAACTGGTTTAGGATAAGACAGAAGGAGATAAGTAATTCCCACAAATCCAGTATGGATCAGTGAAGGCACGGTCAGCCCCCCTGGTCATGGCTGTGGTGAAAGGCTTCAGGGATCTCAGCCTTTCCTGGACCAGGGCCTCATTTTCTTGCTCCAAGAGGAGAGGGACTGTTGCCATGGTGGTTGTGCTGAGCGAATTTGTGGTCTTCTGTGTGCTCCTTTTGAGTGGGGGCTGCTAGATCAAGGGCAGAACCCCGTGTGCATTCTGTGCTAAGAAAATCAACATTCTGCAATCTCTATAAATTATACAAATTTGTATCTCTCTTATTTTGCATAATTTATTCAGCTGTTTTTGGCAGTCATGGGAGGGGCAAGTACTCTGGAGTTCCACCACAACCACTTGAAATTTTATTTGGCAGCCTCTGTTGGCTTCTGAGATTCAAGCAGCGAGCCATTTCGCAGATAAAGTCCTGGCACTTCGCTGTGACCTCCCCGCCACAATTGATACAGTGAGAGAACTCGAGGCCCCTTGCACGTCTTTGAGGCCGGGTTTAGAATGTTTTGACCCACTCAGCCTGGAGGAGGCTGACAGGTTGTTCGTATCTGTGCGCCCAACCACGTGCGACCTTGATCCGTGCCCCTCCTGGCTGGTTAAAGCCGGCCACGAGGGGTTTCGAGGTGCACTGCGGGAGATTGTCAACAAGTCCCTCATTGAGGGACGGTTCCCCGGAGCACTCAAGGAAGCGATGGTCCGCCCTCTCCTAAAAAAACCATCCCTGGATCCGGCCGTATTGGCCAACTATCGGCCGGTTTCCAATTTGCCCTATTTGGGCAAACTTATAGAGAGGGCGGTGGCAGCACAGTTACAGGGCTACCTGGATGAGGCCTCCATCCTCGATCCCTTCCAGTCCAGCTTTCGCCCGGGTCATGGGACGGAGACTGTTCTGGTCGCGCTGACGGATTACCTCCGTAGGCATCTGGATCGTGGCGGCGTGGCTGCACTGGTGTTGTTGGATCTGTCGGCTGCGTTCGACATGGTCGACCACCAGTTGCTGGCCCACCACCTCGCCGACGTGGGGATAAAGGGGCTTGCCTTGCAATGGCTCGTCTCCTTTCTCCAAGGTCGGGGACAGAGGGTGGAAATGGGGAACCAGCGGTCCCGAAGGCACCCCCTTGAGTGCGGAGTGCCCCAGGGAGCCGTGTTGTCCCCAATGCTATTCAACATCTATATGCGCCCCCTCGCCCAGATTGTCCGGAGGCACGGGCTTGGGTGTCATCAGTATGCTGATGACACCCAGCTCTATCTGATGTTGGACGGCCGTTCGGACTCTGTTCCCGATGACCTTTCTCGGGCATTACAAGCCGTGGCTGGTTGGCTCAGGCTGAGTCGGTTGAAACTAAACCCGGCAAAGACGGAGGTCCTGGGCCTATGTCGGACCGGCCGGGAATTAGGGCTCCTTCTCCCGACCTTCGGCGGGGTGCCTTTGGTGCCTGTGCGGGAGGTTAGGAGTTTAGGAGTGCTCCTGGACTCTTCATTAACAATGGAGGCCCAGGTGGCAGCCACTGCTAGGTCAGCCTTTTACCATCTGCAGTTGGCCCGGCAGTTGGTCCCCTATCTCAGCGGCGAGGACCTGGCCACTGCGATCCACGCGACGGTCACCCCGAGGCTAGACCACTGTAATGCTCTCTACTTGGGGCTGCCTTTGTTGCAAATCTGGAAGCTGCAGCTAGTGCAGAATGCTGCAGCTAGGCTGTTGATGGGTCTCTCGAAGAGGGACCACATCCGGCCGGTGCTGCAAGCGCTGCACTGGCTGCCTATAGCATACCGGATTCGCTTCAAAGTGCTGGTTCTCACCTTTAAAGCCCTGAATGGCCAGGGTCCAGTCTACCTGAGGGACCGCCTCTTCCCGTATGTTCCCCCAAGAGCGCTGCGATCAGGGAGCCTGGACCTCCTTGAGGTTCCAGGCCCCCGGGACATCAAGCTTGCCCAAACCAAGGCCAGGGCTTTTTCGGTGGCGGCTCCTACCTGGTGGAATGAGCTCCCGGTGGAGATCCGGGCCCTGCGGGACCTTGTACAGTTCCGCAGGGCCTGCAAGACGGAGCTCTTCCGCCAGGCTTTCGAGTAGGAGCCGCCGCCACTGCCACTATACCACCATCGTGGCGTGATTTACCATCTACCTGGCCTTGGGTAGGGAGAGACGCCGCCCTGAAGAGGAACACTACTCTGGCGCTCCGGCTTTTACATCATCGGCCGCCACTAAAGATCGACCATCTTGAACTTTTTAACTGAACGGTAGAGCACCTTTTTTTAATTTGTATTTATTGAAGTTTTAATGTAACTTTTGTTTTATTCCTGGCGTTCGCCGCTTGTTTTGCCGCCCTGGGCCGTATGGGTAGGGCGGGATATAAATTACAGAATAAATAAATAAATAAATAAATAAATTGCCCATATGGACACTTCCCAAAGCATATTCACAGCCAAAAGGGACTAGAAACTTGCCACTTTTTTTTTTAATGAAAAATGGGATTTGGGAAGATGGGTTCCCTCTGTTCTTCCATAGAATTGCTCAATAACAGCAGTTCTGCTGAAGGTCCCTCAGGTCTTCTTCTACTGACTCCCAGCCCTCCTCCTCAGACACTTATATGGCATTCTTGCTTCTTTGTGCTTGCCAGCTGCTAGCATCGGCCAGTTATGATGACACAGTGAAACTGTACCGGGAGGAGGAGGATGACTGGGTGTGCTTCACCACACTGGAGGGCCACGAATCCACTGTGTGGAGCTTGGCCTTTGACCTGAGCGGAGAGCGCCTGGCCTCTTGCAGTGATGACAAGACAGTGCGTATTTGGCGCCAGTATAAACCAGGCAACGAGCAAGGTCAGTATCACTGTTGCTGCATTGGAGAAACCTGAGGCATCCCAGCCGAGTGGAAATGCAAGAGTGTGAGAGCGAATTGGTTACAGGGCAGTACCAAAGACCCCTATTCTAGGCCTAGTACCTTTTACATGTGGTCTGTAAAGGTCAGACATACACTGATTTTGGACCTCTAGATCTGTGTTTAATTTCTGCTCTTCATTATTGTGGAGGTGCTTGAAAATATGGGGGTTGTTTCTGAAAATGGGCACAGCATTTAAGCAGCTACATTCCTCCAATTGAGTCCAAACTATAACTTCTAAGGAACTCTTGCAGTCCCTATAACGGATTTATTGTGGCAGAATCTTTGTGTGTATGTATTGTCCAGTCCAGGAAGCATTCTTTCATTTGGCAGAATGAATACCTTGGATCTGTTGGAGAAAAGTAGTGAATGTGCAGGGTCAAGAGGCATCTTACGTAGTTTGGCCCTTAGGAAAAAGGATGCAGCTTGGGTCAGAGACGCAGAGATCCAGTGCCCACAGCTGAAACACAGGAGCAGAGAGGTCTGGATTCTTGAGTCTTGAACCATTGAGCTACAAGTACAGGGCGGGGCTGTGGCTCAGAGCATCCACTTTGCACACACAAGGCTGCAGGTGCAGTCCCCAGCCTGAAAGACCTCTTACCTGGAAGCTATTGGACCAGGATTTCCAAAAAATCCCGGATGTGAATAACATACCAGTACTGAGATCCAAGATTTTTTGGAAATACTGAAATTTTGGGGAGTTCCAATAGACCCGAACTGAAAAATACTGACTTAAAAAAAATTGCACACCCCTACTGACCTCGAGAAACCAATGAAGACCAATAGAAGAAATCTATATGTCTGTAAAGAGTCAAAGAACCCCCATACCCCGGGAAGATCAGCCATATTGGTTAGGAAAGCACTGCCTGGAGGGCATTTGCTCCATATTAATGTCTGAGGGTATACAGAGAAGAGCTCATAGAAAGTTTCTTTTAGGGATGAGTTTTAAGCACTGCTGGAAAAAGGGGGAATATAATTTTGAAGTTTACAGTTTTGTTTAGTAACGTATGGACATATGCAAAAGTAAGCATTTAACAGCCTGGGGATTATATATGCTCTATTTTTCACATCTCCCCAATCTCTTATAAACCAAATTAAAAATTTTATTTATACTTTTAAACCCTGTGGTGTGGGGACGAACCCCATTGTTGAGACTGCTTCCCCTGGAGCTCTCTCGACCATGGGCCAGGAGCATTCCATGTCCCACATTCTTCTTGGAATCATAGAAGATAATCAGTCTTACTAGAACAAGGCACCCCAGGTCTTTGCACTGAAGGATAAAGTACAGGCAGTACGAAGAGTCCAGGATACCTGCATGCTTTGGATGATAAATGGGGAACAGGACTGCAGCTAAAACTACAGGGTCTGAACATACAAAGACCTCTGTTTCAACTTTGATTTCTAAAGGCCCCAAAGCAAGAGGATTTAGAGCTTAAATTTTCTTCTGTCCCAGTGGCCTGTAAACCAGGAGCAGGCAAGGCTGTGGTTTAAGCAGAGCTGCTCATGTATTGCAGGTGTAATCTGCAGTAGCACCGATCCCACGTGGAAGTGTGTCTGTACGCTGTCTGGTTTCCACACAAGAACCATCTACGATGTGGCATGGTGAGTTGAGGGTCAGCCCTGTGTCAGAGTCGTTTAACTGTTTTTAGAGATCAGTGTGAGCATGCCGTAATTTTTTCCTCAACTGTATCTCTGCAGGGCGTGGGTATGTTGCATCTCAGAATAGCTGCCCACCAAGAAAACTAACACAACAGGGATCTTTTGCTGTGAGAACAGAGAACTCTGTCTCCTCTTGAACAGAATTTATCACCATAATGGAGGGGAGGGATCAGAGACTGCAGTAAAGGCATATTAGGTGTGTTTGGCTAGTGTTCTACAGCTGTTGACCCTCTAAGCTGTGGAGTCTTGTGAGCGAGCAATTTGGCTACTGCATAAATTAGTTTGCCCTGGAGCCATCCTTCCTGAGCGAAGTAAAAAATGTGTGAGCCGGAGGCTAAAAAAACTGTGAGCTAGCTCACACTAACTCAGCTTCGAGGGAACACTGCTGTTGACACATATATTAGAAATAAATGTGAAGCAGCTGCAAAGGTCATGTTGGTGCATGATATGTTGACGTTGCTACCCCACTGAGGGCTACAAAAACTCTTGGACTAATCAAGCCTTGGCAACCTGAAACTAATTCTCTGTTGGTGCAAAATCCACCTATCACCTGTTATTCTTGTTGAGACTGCAATATTTGTATTGAAAACACTCTTTTAATTGCAGTAGTTTCACACCCTATTTGAAGAGTTAATATGTCCAATCAATAGAGTACTAAATACCAATTGATAAAAACAACCATAACAAGTGCAAATGAGATTTCACTCTTCTGTGATATGTCTTTTGCATCCATCGCTAAGGAAGCCAACTGCTGTTGTTCCATTCTTTGCAGGTGCTACTTGACAGGAGCCCTAGCTACTGCCTGTGGAGATGATGCAGTCAGAGTGTTTGAGGAAGAGCCGCTCTCGGACCCCCAACAACCTATCTTCACATTGACCGCCCACATGGCCAGGGCCCACTCTCAGGATGTGAACTGTGTGGCCTGGAATCCTAAGGAGCCTGGGCTCCTGGCATCCTGCAGCGATGACGGGGAAATGGCCTTCTGGAAATACCAGCGCCCTGAGGCTTAGTGAAGCGTAACAGTGTTTCCCTGTGCCACATGACAGTAGTGTAGTCCTTTCTGCTACTGTTTCTAAGACTATTAGCAGTGCCACATTCAGAGGCAGCAAGCTGGGTCAAATCCTCTCACAGTACAGGCAAATAAGAAGACAGATCATGTAACTAAAGCTTGCTCTGAATGGTTCCCCTTATCCTCCAAGACAGTGAGGTAGCAGCTCTCTCAGGAATCATGCATTAGGAACAGACCATCTTTTAGCCAAAGGAGAGAAACCTTGAACTGGTTGCTGCCAGCTTCTCTTGTACAGATTTGACACTGTTGCCCTGCTGGTCATAGTGGGCTTACTGCTGAACACTGCCCCCCCCTCCCGGATTTTATTTGCTACGAATCCTGTAAATGCCTGGTTGACGGGTTCTCCTTTTTTGCACTGTAACTGTGCTAATTTCTACTAGTATATTGTACATTTAAAATGTATTGTTGCATGGGGTGGTGGTAGCAGAATGCACAAATGCAGAGTGAAAGGACATTTAGTGACATGACATTTCATGCAAAACAAGTAAAAAGTTACTGTGATCATAGACTCTTGGCCCTGTTTGTTGAATATTAGGTTTAGCATTTGGGTCAAGGGAAAGTATTGAAAGGGTCTACTTATCCCGTGCCCACTCAGATTTTCCCCACTATTAGTTTTTTTTAAATGGAAGAATCATCTCATTGTACATAACACTAGATCTCATGGTTTGCTTGATACAGTGATAAATCTGCAAGGTACAAAAAATGTTGCATTGGGACAAATTTCAACAAAGGAGCTTCAGCCTAGAAAACAGCCCCTGACTGCAGTGATCATGGGAATGAAACAAGGAAGAAGAGCCCTCTGATTGTGTCGCTATTTGAAGCTCAGTGGTGGGAGATGGACAAATCAGGACAGATTTGCTCCGTCAGTAAAAACACCAATCCTTTTTCTTCAAATCTGGAATTCATTCTTGAACATTTTTATTTTGGAAAACAAATAAGAGACACAACATGGGTCCCATGTATGCCCCTTTCTAAAATACTTACATTGTACTTCTGCCTGTTTTGTTCATCAATATTAAAAGCTGTTCCAGAAGCTAGAAGAATATGGAGGTAACTCCTCCAGTGCCTACTGACCACGACACGAAAGTAGTAAGGAATGGGAGGGCCCTGCCTCGAGGCTTACAAGAGGCCTCTTGAGAACCTGCCTTTAAAAGGAGGGAGGAAACGGGAAGAGTCCACATGCCACATCTTCGGCAGCAGGCAGCCTTTGGTACCAGTCCAAGCAGCCTCAGACCTGTTCTGAACAGTCCAGCAACAGACTATACTGAATGCGCCACTCAGTCAGAATCGCTGTCACTCTCTGCCTCCTTCACATCGACGCTGAACTTGTACTCCTGATCACAACCCATGTAGGCATCACTCATGAAGTAGAGGGTGTAGTTGTGAGTCCCAGTGGCCGGGGCCACAAAATCCAGTTTCACCTAAAGGAAGAGAAGCTCAGTTCCTATCCTTTGCTTTTGCATTTACAGCCAGCAGGAAGAGTTAAAAAAGATTTAACAAGGGCAACCCTGCCCAGTGTCACACTGCCATTTAGGAAAGTCAAATAAAGCAACATCCCAAGGGGTCCTCTCAGCTGGACAGCTCAGACCATGCCCTCCTGTGGCCCAGCTTATCCCTGCCCTGCAGTCAGAGGGTGGGCCAAGCCATTCCCTTCACTCAAGTTGAGAAGGCTTAAGCTGCAAGGTCCTGGCCCAGCACGCTCATGAATGCATTCCTGTCCTCTCCCTGTAAAGACCATTTTCCCAGATGAAATGAACTGCAAGCATTTCCCAGCTTACCTTGGCTTTCTGCTGCAGAGTCAGCCTCTTAATGGAGATGAGGCTATTAGACTTGGAGTCTCCAATCACCACCCACCAGCCTTCCTCACGTTTCTGCAGGGGGGAAGGAACAAGAAAATGAGGACAGATATGGCATCCTTCTTGACCACCTACACATCAGAACCCCCTCCTTGTTTCTTCTTCCCCATATGGGGATCCCAAATAGAAGCATCAGCCACTGGCTAGCTGGAAATTCCCCATCAAGGACTCAAAATACCTGTGGGAAGAGGGGTGCAATCACTGGCCCTGTGACCTCCTCCTCTCGCTCGAGCTGCACCAGCACCACCACTGGCCCACCACTGCAGAGACAAACCAGGGTAAACTTTAGTCACGTGCTTTGCCAGGGTATGGCATTTACTTACACTGCAGATGAGTTGAGCATACTCCCTGATACACTACAGGCAAGCGGTTCAAAAGCAAACATAACAGCTCAGCAATCACAGCGCACATGGTGTCTTTCGGTGCAGAATCCTGATAATCTCAACTTTCATTTAAATGCTTAAAACTACTTATTGCAAAAATCCTGAGCAGCTTTTCTGATTAGAAATTGGAAGAAAAACGATCAAAGCTTCTATATTTCACAGTTCTCGCTGGATTGCAGTGTTTGTTGCAGCAAAGCAAATGTGAGTCTTGTAGGTTATCATCCATGAAAATTTAATGGAATAAAGTGTTACAGTGCCACAAAACTCCTATTTTTGTGCACCACAAGAGCACATAACATCTTGCCTTTCTCACAGAGAAACATGGGTGGATTACAAAAAAACCCAAAACACAACAGCACGAGACATTCAACAAACAGTCCAGTAGGACTGGGATTATAGAACTGGACAGCAATGCTAACAAAAGAAGAAATCTGAGGCATCGTATACCATAAGGCAGAAAATGGGTCACAATTCAGAAGTGCTTTGCCTACATTATTATGTCAAACCCATAAAGTAGGTCCATATTATCCAATGTGAGGGGCCCCCACGTAAGGGAGAATGGTTTGCAAAAGGACACCTTTTGAAGTATGATTTGAATTGGGTCATAGCTCACTCCCTTAGTTGTACTAGGTCGTCTTCCAAGGATCGAAGGACTGTGCTACTTCCTTCATTCAGCACAAAGTACCTGATTTCTCATACCCACCCTTCAATCTGTCTCCCAGTCCTTCATAATTGCATATATTCTGCAGTTCCCCCCCTCCAGAATTAATGCTGTCTGTCCAATCTTCATTGGATTTAGGGGGCTCCCCTTCAACATTTCAGTTGTGGTGACAACCTTGTCCACCTGGCAACAAGACCTCCCCCCTGCCCCTTACCTGCGGATGCCGTCCTTTTCCACCACCTCGTAGGAAAGCTCAATGTTGGGGTAGCGATTACAGAAGCGAGCCACATCAGCAATCTGTGCATCGGAGAGCTGCAGCAGAGCACTGCGGTCCTCGTCTTCCATTTCCATGATGTCGAACACACTCTCCACCCCCTGCAAAGAAGGAGAGACTGGATGAGCCAGTTTGGTGTAGTGGTTAAGTGTGCAGACTCTAATCTGGGAGAACCAGGTTTGATTCCCCACTCCTCCACTTGCACCTGCTGATGTGACCTTGGGTCAGTCACAAGCTCTGGCACACAGCTGTTCCTGAAAGAGCAGTTTGTGTCAGAGCTCTCTCAGCCCCACCCACCTCACAGGGAGGGGAAGGGAAAGGAGTTTGTAAGCCGCTCTGAGACACCTTTGGGTAGTGAAGGGCAGTGTATAAATCCAATCTCTTCTTCTTCAACAGGACTTTGCAGTCTTCATTGTCAACCTGCCTGCAACCTCCACTCACCTTATCTGTGCAGCGCTTGATGTGCTCCGAAGTGAAGTGGGGCAGCTGCTTGAGATAGGAATCCTTTGACCACATGGCCTGGGTGACCATCTGTGCCAGCTCCATGGCTGCCAGAGCAGGGCTCAGCCAGCCATTGCTGGACAGGACATCGACACAGGCTTGAATTAGCCGAATCGCCTGGGAAAAGGAGATGGATTGAAAAGGTTTAGGGTCTCTGCTGTTGGAGCTAAAAGGAGGAGTGTCAATTCTCTTGCAAAGGCAGGATATAAATGTTGGAAATAAATAAATAAATAATAAATACAGGACCAGAAGGGACCAGCCAGTCCCCATTAATGTTCATCTCCCCATGGACTCTTAATAAGCAGGCACCTGTGGTTACTTCTGGCGCCCCTCGTGCCCCCACCCTTCCCCTCCCATACCTTGCTAAGGATCTCCTCTGTGTCGGACTGTAGTTCCGCACTCAGCTGCATCCGTGACAAGTGGGCCTGGAGCAGGAGGTTGGTCTTGACGTGAGGGTCATTGAATTTGGGATTATTCAGCTTGTGGGGCACTTTCTGGGCAAGCTGAGGAAGCAGAGGGAAAGCAGAGATCAGTACATGGCACTTTTATATTTGCTAATGTGCCTTCCTTGGTGTAAGCAACAGCTGGTGATGGGTGAGGCAATTAAGAGAAAAGGTGCCTCAAGACATTTTATTCACAATCCCTTCAACCTGTCTTTCTCCTGTGATGGACTCAAAGTGGTCAAATCTGAGTTCCATCCCCCTAAGTTACGCAATAAACACATTGGGGTCCTCTTATACACAGATGACGCTGTTTTACTTTCAAGGACCCCGGTAGGCCTGAGGAAAGCTATGAACACTTTCACCCAATACTGTTGTGAAAATAAACTAGAGGTCAATTACTCCAAAACAAAAGTAATGGCCTTTGCAAAAAACAAATCGCCAAAGACTTATCGTTGGTCTCTAAATGTGATTCCGATTGAACAAGTTTCATATTTTAAGTACCTGGGAGTTTTCTTCCAGGCAAATGGTTCAGGATCAGAGAATATAAATGCTGTTGTTTCAGAGGCCAAAAGGAGCTCTGGGGCGATTCAAACATTTTACTGGAACAAAGGGAGTAAATGTCCTGTGGCTGCCCTTAGATTACTTAAGGCTAAATGTTTGTCTCAACTCACATATGGAGCTCCCCTTAACATTACAGCAAACCTTAAGAAAGCAGATAAAGTTCAGTCAAAATTTTTGAGTGCAATTCTACAAGCCCCTAATGGGGTGCCAAATGCCCTTATTTGTATAGAGACAGGCATGATTACGGTTGAGGCAAGGCTATGGATTGCAGTGATAATGTTTTGGTTAAAGCTAGTTTTTCTACCCAAGGGACTGACTGTTTTAATGATGTTAGACCATTTTGAACCCCCTTGGTTTAAGGTGCTAGATAAGAAATTAGCCTCTTACAGTTTGTCTAAACAATATTTGTGCTCTATGGGTTATGAAAAGGCCAAGTCTATGACAAAACAGAGAATCTTGAATATCTCAAGACAACATGATTTAAATCTGATAGAGAAATGGCGAGTCCTCCTGGCTCCAGGTAACAGAGTAATCCCTATGCCTTACCTTTCCCATTTATTAAATCAGAACTGCAGAAGAACGTTTACACTAATGCGTTGGGATGTACTCCCATCTGCAGTCCTGGAAGGAAAGTTTAACAAGACTCCTTACAAAGAAAGGATATGCCCCTGTTGTGCGGATAGTATTGAGTCTCTAGAACATGTAATTTTTTATTGTAAAGCATACAACATCTGTGAGTCTCTTCCTTTCCCTAAGACACTCCCTTTCTTTCACAGGCAAAGAATCTGCCTTTTAAGAAATTTGCTATCGG